CTGAATGGACTAGCTAGTTTTTATTTAAAGGCCAAAGAAAACTTACTTTTTAAAGTCTTGCTGAAATTGTGCTAGGTGGTTTCTAGATGGTTAGTGGAATACTTCTCAGTGAAAGAAATAAAGGAATAAAAAATTTTGTCTCTGTATAGTTTTATACATCAAAACACACAAACTATGGAAGCCTCATGATAAGGAATCTAACTTTTAATCTGTGGCAAGTATTGAATAATACTCTAAGCGATAATAATGAAATCTAATACTTCAGACCCTGAAGGAAAGTAGAAGGATGTTCTATGTATTCAGTGCATGATTGGTATTGATTAAAGTACAGTTGCTATACAACCTCAGTTTGTCTCAGACGTCTATGTGTGTGCACTGGTTTTTAGTGCTCTTGAATCATTCTGGGACTAGTATATCTTGATTTGCAGGTTTTCTTTCTGAATTAATCTGCAGTTTAGACAGCAGTATTCTTTTATGTACAGTGTTCCTCTATGTAAGAACAGTGACTGCCTAGTTACTTGTATCTTCCTAAGTGTGTTAGCATGTTTTTTTATTGTTAAGAGTTTACTTTGAAGAAGGTTGTAGTCTAACTATGTTTGCTGGTCTTTTTTTTAGTAGAAATTGGTGAGAGGGGAATGTTGTATATAATAGGTCTTATTGTGAAGGTGATGTAAAACGTAAAACTTTTTTGTGCTTTATTTAAAAAAAGAAGATAAGTGAACAAGTACAAAAAATTCTAAAATTTTACTTTTTTTTTCTGGGGATGGTGTTTGTGGATTGAATAGGGGAAATGGGGGTGGGGGGAAGCAACCTAAAATCTCTGCTTTTAGTGTATCTGTGCTAGCATGGCTTGAACCTGTAACTAGAAGATAGTTGTCATCAATCCTAAGAAGTTGTACCATCTGCTTAATGTCTTAGGTTTGTTTTGACTGAGGAATCTCTTTAACATTTTAAAGCTGAATTTATAATTCCCAGTCATGCCGAGTAAGTACATCAAAATGGAAACCTGGAAAACAGTCTTTCCTTCAGATGTTATATAGCAGTTAACTTTGTATGCATGCTTTGAAAATACAGAAAGAACTTACTTGCTGAAAGGTTTGGTAGGGGAATTTAGTATAATAAAGGACCGCTGAGCAAGTCAAACATTAAGTTTTGCTCTTTGGGGATCTTTTGTGGTATTGACAGAACATTGGAAGAGGGAATTCTTTTTGTTTTGCTTTAATTTGGGTACGTAGTGCCACAGAACAATTTATCCTTCAAGCATTAAAGGTTTTTTCTTTATTTGTGGTACATAGTTTTGATCTTTCTTAGCTGTCAAAATGAAGAGAATAGAATCACGGAATAGTTTGGATTGGAAGGGACCTTTAAAGGTCATCTAGTCCAAGCCCCCTGCCATGGGCAGGGACATCTTCAACTAGATCAGGTTGCTCAGAGCCTTGTCCAACCGGGCCTTGAATGTTTCTAGGGATGGGGAAATAGACTGGGGGGACAGTAAAATCTGGCTATAATTCATCTCAGATTCTTCATATTGTGCCTGCTTTGTATCAGAGGCATATTGACCTAGTTTTCCTTATGCTTAGTATATTATGTATAATGCTGGGGAAAAAAATTGAATTTGATTCATTTTTTTTAGTGCTGAGGCTCTGGTTTGACAATTCAGTGAACGTAGCCATTGGCTTCTATCACTGTATTTCCCTAAAAAACAGGCCACTTAAAGCAAATCACTGATCCAGTATAAATGTACTCTGCCAGTTAAATGTGTTCAAAGCATAAAAGTTTTTTTTTAATGAAATAATTGTTCAAGACGGCTCAGTGATTTCAGTTTTTCTCCAAATTAAAAGATTGAGTAGTGTGTTTCTTTTATCATGGCAGGCACCATTCAGGTACCACTTGCAGTGGACTCCAAGTTCATCAGAGCATGAGATTTAGAGTTCAGTTGCCAATTCTTTGCCTAAGGGGCTGCTGTGGCTCTACTGTACTAGATGTTTAAGCCTTGTTTCCTGTCTATGTTTCTCCGTATGTAAAGTGAAAGTATAAGATATAAATTACATGAATTAGAAAAATGTTCCTACATCTAAGGGGAAGAATGTTTTTCTGAAGACTAAATTGATGATTTAGTCTCAATCTTTTAACCTATTAGGTATAGCAACAATGCTGTTCTTTACAGTGTATGACTATTAGTTTTCTATACAGCTTGTATGTATTTTTTTCCATAAGCTAGCGTAAGGATTAGTTTTCTGACTTAAGATTTATAGATTTAAGTAATTTTTATAGGGACATTTATAATTCTTAAATTTTTGTGTTGAAACTGCTCTAGGGCCTGATACCATCCTTGGGATATTAGGCTTAATTTATAGTGCATTTTATAGAACTCTTGCTGTGTCTGACTACAGAATCAAATTCAGTATCTGCAACAGTCTCAAATAAGAAGTGATACATCAAATCAGGAAATCATTCAGGATGTATTTTGTTGGATATAAGTAGTGACTTCAGTTGAATATCTTCATGAATAGTATTTATCAACTGAAGAAAACTAGTACAAGCTGTGCTAAAGGAAAACAAAGTAAAATAATAGAAGTAATTTTTGTGGGTTTTTTTTTTTTTTACTTTGAAAGTTTTAAAACTGACTTTTTATCTGGAAAATAGTCGTTGCTGCTGAGGATGAATACTTTGTATTTTATTTGTAATGTTAGCTTTCAAAGATGGTGTACTTTTGCAGTATTTCTGGCTGATCATGCAGGAAAAGCTTTAGTCTGTACTCTTCAGTTCAGGAGTGATGAGGTCAAAATGTTTTTTATCATTAATGTTTGTTAGTATGTGTAAGGTTAATGTAAAGGAAGGGTGGGATTTTTTTTTTTTTTCTTCACTGACTTTCACACTGACAATCCAAGTGAAGTGTAGTGAAGTGTTTGAATCTCTTGCCATAGTATATATTAATATATGTGGTACTCCCTGCCTTTATTGTGCCATTTGATGACAAATAGGAGCACTAATCATCACAGGATTTGCTGGTAATGTTTCTGAAGTGGTTTCTCTTCTTTATTTATATTTGTACTATATCAGCTCTCTAATTTGAGGCCATTATGATACTCATTCTTCCTTGACCAGCTATGACGACTACTAGTAGTAATGATTGCCTGTTTTTATTGCTTGAAACCTGAAATCATTCAGGCACTTACTTGAATTAGTAAACTTGTGCACTAATCTGTCCTCCGTCAAATGTATTTTCTTGATCAGTATAGTACAAGTACAACTGATTGTAAGTACAACCATTTTAGAGTTGCATATGTCTGATTTGCCTTCTTTGTAGTAGTTTACTTCTTTGAAGTTATATTAGTGGTAAGAGATTTAATTTGTGCTTTAATATACTATGTGTTTGTGTCCACTGGAGACCATTATCACTAAGAATTCCACTGCAGCAAGCTTCAGCTTATATACTCAGAGGGAGAGTAGTTAAAAGAAACCAACCAACTGACCAAACCCCCACAAAACCCCCCCAAACTTAAAAGTACTAAATTTAACCCTTTTTCCTTGTATCCTCTCCTTTAATTTGAAAGGATTTCCTGATACCTTTTAAAGTTGCCTTATGTAAGTGTTGATTGTAAACTTTTGTTTTTGTATGTTTAGGTCAACCTGAAGAGACCATGCCCATTTTGGGCTGATGATGGCCATTGTTCTATCAAAGATTGTCATGTAGAGCCTTGTCCTGAGGTATGGATCAAATAATATAAAATAGAAAAAGGTTGGTTAAAAAGTTTGCTAATTTGCAGTGACTAATACTATACTAACAATATTTACTAATGAGAACTTAAATTTAAATAAAAGAGTGACAATAAAATTATTTTCCATTTCAAAAGCAGAAATACAACCAAAGTATTTTAAGGTTTTAGTCATTGTACCAATAAAACAAATTACCTGAAGAATAAGTCTCTTCTAAGCTCTAGCACTGTTTTGGATATAACATGTTGAGAAGGTAAAGGAGCAAGTTAATTATTTAAAAACAAGTTTGCTTTGACCTCTGTAAGAAATGATATTTAATTTGTAGATTTTAATCAAGCATAATCATTTCTATGAACAGTGTAAAAACTGTGATTTATTTTTTGTTTTTAGAGCAAAATACCTGTTGGAATTAAGGCTGGGAGCTCTAATAAAGTAAGTAGTCATTTATTTTCTAAGTTCTTTCTGATTTTTCTTTTTTTTTTTAATCTTAACATTACATTAGCTGTGTGACTTTTTATTACAAACCTTCAGTCTTGGCATAGTGATGAAATTGTTAACATAACTGATCAGTTCCTGTATGTGGCTTTACATTTTTACTTTTATGTATAATAGTGTTTCTAACATAGCGGGTACTGTCATGTCATTCCAAGTCTGTCGTAGCTTGAGAGCTGGTGCAGACTGAATCAATGAATGACCAGGGACAGCAGTACATGGCCACAGAATGCCTGATGCAAAATTCTTTGTTCATTTCTGAGTACAGGCCACCTTCTATAAAGTCATAGGCTAAGATGCACAGATGCAGTAGCGGTGCAGTCTTTTGTAAGAATCATATATAACCACAACCTCTAATATTAAAAGAACCTGAACGATTACATGTAGTTTTGCCATGTCTAATCTTGAGCAGGTCATTAATCTAAAGATGATTTGGTCATTAGTATAAAGACAATTTAGGCTAAAGTGGTCAGTGCAAGCTTAAGTAGTCAGTCTCTGCTGTTGACTTTTGCTTGCTTCTCTCCAAGCCATCCTTCTTAGATCACCAAGTGATCTTAGCAAAGCCAAAAAAGTAAAGAAGTCAGAGCAGAACCCTCCCTCACCCCCAAATCCCAAACGCAGTGCCCAAGAATAAGGATTTTAGCAGTTGATGGGATAGTGTGCCCAAATGAGAGATCTTCCTGTTGAATGCCTTGGCTGTGTTGTAGACTCATACTTACTCTCGCTTAGCTATAACATCTCCATCCTCCCCAGTACTTTCCACCTCACTGGGCAGCCATAGTTGCTGCTTGCCTCACCAGAGTGTAGTTCACTGTATCATAAATGACCATTGGCATTGGTTTGGACTTTATGTCTTGAAAGATTACTAAAGATAGCTGAGAGGAATACTTCACTGTGAATTGATGACTGTGTCCTGCTGTCATGAACAGTGCAGGCAAGTCTGTCCAAGCTTCCTCAAGAGGAAGTCTCGTCTCCTATTTATACATGTATTGTTAAGCTCACTCTGAAGTAAAGTGTGCCTCTTCATTTAAAGGTTTCTGGTGATCAGAGAAGAAACATTTTTCTCACTGACCTGAGTCAAATGTCAGTCATTCACTGTTTCAGCACAAGCAGCAGTAGTTGTTCTGGGAAAACTTTGGCACTATCTCTGGGCAGATGATCTTGAGTTTTAGCTGGATAATCTTGTTGCCAGTTCTCTTTTTCATTGGCTCTGTTCTCTTCCAAGCTTGATTGTAGAGAAACTGACTCCTGGAATACTGTAATGTCTCCTAAAGAGGCATTTTAAGACACTTCTAGAAAGGATTCTTCTAGTAGGCATTTGAGCTTCCTGAATTGTTTAGTCTTGAGAGCCATAAGTAAGATGTTAACTAGTAGCCAAAGAGTATGCTGTTCTTAAGATACTTCACATAGGCATATTGAATTGGACTTCGGAAGTGAAAAATCAGCCACCTTTTGCTTTCACCACAATAAAGAAGCTGGGATATCTTCTTTGGGAAGCTGTCATTTGCGGGTCATTTGTTACAGTTGTTTCCTTTGAATCGTCTTGTAGGTTGTTGCAACCAGCTACAGTATTGAAAGTTGGGCAATTCTGCACCTTTAATCTGTAGTAGAGCAAAGACACTAATATCTGCTGCTTCTCTGTCAGAAAACAAAATATTTCTGCAGGAAAACTGTCATCAGGACTGACATAAATCTTACCTACACCATTTTCTTACTTCTTATGATTCAGCTGAAGATCTTTCTTGGAGCCAATTAAAAATTAACAATCTCATTTAATATCCCTTTTAAGGAAACATCAAACTCATTTTAGTAGGAATGTTTTGTTTCAAGGACTATGCAAGTACTGTGCTATTAAGCCTGTGCTTAGTCCATTTGGGAAAGTCCTGCATCTTGTGGATTACCCTTGAAGTATTGCGTAAAACAAAACAAAACAAAAAAGATGTTTTTCCTCTTGGGACATACATATCCAGTTTCTGTCTTTCACTTTCATAGTGTCTGCTTTGGAAAGGTGAAAACAATGAAAAACATCTTTTTAATAATGAGAGCTATAATCTCTTGAATAGATATACTCGGGGTAAAATCCTGTGGAGAAGTTTTCTGTGATTTAAGTGCTTGGCTTCTGCGCAGTTTCCTATTGTCCTTCTCTCCTAATGTAGATGAGCTTGTAAACTTCTAGCTTTATTTAGGCTTTCGTGGGGGATTTTTTTGTTTGCTGAACCATAGAGAGAACAGCTCTTCTTTTGAAAGCTCATCTAGCCACAAAGACCAGGGTTACACTTCCACAGCTTCCCCACAGAAGTGCAGTTAACAATAGAGGATCCCTTTTTTAATTCTTGGCACCAACATAAGCTTTTTGAAATGGTGTTGGAGAGGCACAAAGTAGTTTCCCTTTCTATAGTCCTCTTTCATTTGAGTGGTGAACACATTTTGGGGGGCTAGACATTAAAGAACTGTCACGACAGCTGCTGTATTAATCTTTGAAGCAAGGGACAGGATGCAGTAGCTTAAGGTTACAACATTTAACTTAGTATTTTACTTCCTGCGCACCTGTTTTCTATTTTCTTCCAGAAACTGCTCTTAGGAGATCCTGCTTTGGCAGGAACAGATACTTTGTCCTGATTAGTCAGTGGTCACAGAGCACTGATCCAGTAGCTGTTGCTATTAAACACTGGAGAATAGTGAAACCTGGAAGCATGTTTTGAGACTTGAACGTTCATTCTGTTTGAAACCTTAAATTTAGGATTATATTCTTGGCAGTAATTTTTTTCACTTCGGGGTGGGGATTGGTTTGCAAGTCTACACATGCGGAATGTTTACTTCAGCATCTCAGTATGTTATTTCATCAGCAGTATCTGTTTCATTCTAGGTCAGATCCATTCCTTGTTCAGATTTTTCCATTTAACATCCATATGATGCTAAAGAATGAGCCACCACACCTGGCAAATCCAAGAAAATTGAGTGAGAAGTTCCTTTTAGAGTAAATATTTGTTATGGGCAAGGCCCCTAAGAAGGTTTAAATTATTTGTTTGTTTTTTTAATCTCCTTCACTACTTTGGTCTTCAGTAGGTTCTGCTATTTTTCCTTGTATTGGTTCTGACAAATGCATCTTTAAAGCAAGTCGTCTTGCTTACTCATCTGAACAGTTTTAATTAAATCCTTTCTTTTTTGAGAAGTATTGTGGTGGTACTTTGCCTCTGGCATCTTGACCACAAGTCTGTCCTCAGAAATGAACTATTCTCTTTCTTTTAAAAATTATCAAATTATTATTGTTGCTTGCTATTTCTGAAGGTTGACCAAAGCTTTCAGCTTACATTTTTATTTTGAGCTGGTTTTGGATAGTAATCCTTCATGTCAATATGTATGTGCCCTGAAGTGAAGCCAGCAGTTTAGTTTTATGTAAGCTATCAGTTACTTAACATTAAATAATTTTCTGTATTTCTTAAGGGCTGTGATAAGGTAGAAATCTGTGTAAACCTAAGGCTCAGTCTGCAAAAGAAAACACACACAGAAAAAAAATCCCAACCCAAAAACCTCACGAAAGAGGAAACTGGGTTTGTTTGACTTTTAAGAGAGCACTGATACTATCTATTATGTTCCAAAACTGTTAGAAGGATTTTTTAGCTTTAAGCTGCCAGACTTAACAAATTCCCTGCTGACATAACCATATTATTGCAGAATAGTGGAGTTTAATCTTTAATTCTTCAAATGTTTTCCTTAGAAGTATTCTAATAGTAAGTCTATTTTAGTGGATTACTTTTTAGAAAATACTGTAGAATCAGAGTTCAGCTTAAATACTTCAATTCTGGCTTTAAAATAATCAAAATTTGAGTTCGGCTTGAAAAGCCTGTCTTCCAGACCTGTGCATGTCTAAAGCATGGTAATAATTGGATGAAATGAAACATGAGGGGAAAATGGCCAAAACTGATACACTTTCCTACTGAAATGACCAATGAAACTTGGGGTATGATTATGCTTGCAAAATACAAGGTATGTTTATAGGTATGACACTGCTTGTCTTCCAAGGTCCTTTTACAAGAATGTAAATAAGTATCTGAAACACTTCAGAACTCCATTTAATTTAAACAAAAAAAAAAAATTAGAAAAGCAAAACCAACAAAAATTGACATATTTAGCTGAATTTTCTGTGGTAGTTAAATCCACAGAGTGAAATTGGCCTTATGAAATTGAGTGAAGAAAAATGGAAATAAGAAGTGTTCCAGAATTACTTACTGCTTCTAGAACCTGAGGATTTTCCCTGATACTAGCCAATTCACTGCTAAACCTAGAAATACCTTTCACAGCACCTGTTCTCAGAATTTTAGGTAATTCATATGTATATTAAATATGAACTTTGTTACAGTATTCAAAAGCAGCAAATAATTCCAAAGAATTGGAAGACTGTGAGCAAGCTAACAAACTGGGAGCAGTTAACAGTACCTTAAGGTATGCTGTGATTTACAAAAATAATACAAAAATAGTAACAAAGGAGCATTTCATTTTGTCTGTCTTGGTTTTGCAATGTGCTGTTTTTTGTTCTTCATTCTTTCCGTAGCCCATTAGAAAGTAAATGTGAAATGATGCAAGAACATCTGAAGGTAAAGGTGTTAAGTGATTCCTAGACTTTCTTTTTTTTTTTTTTTTTTTTTTTTAAAGTACGCTTTGATATTGTTTGAAAGAGGTATCTTACAGCATCAAGAGTTGGAGGAAACTTGCAAATAACCCACCTTTTTTCTACTTTTTACCAGTATCAGTCTTTGTTCTTGATGACTGTGCTGGATTAAGGGATTCTGTCCCTCTGTTACACTGATGTGCCTGTTTGTGATCATTCAGTGAATGAGGTCAGGGAGCTTGTGAGTTACTTTTGTTGTTGGCAAAGTTATTTTTAGCTTGGATCAATTCCCTGATCTTGCTTATTGCATGGCACAGTCAAGGTTGGGTGGGAGGAATTCTGCAGGATGGTGTTGCCCCTGAATAGGGAAGTGTGTGGAACAGCACTTAGAAAAACTTCCATTCTACTAGATTCCCCACTTCTAAAAAGTAGAAATAGAAAAATCAATTCTTCACTATTGATGGAGAGGCGTGGTGTCTTTGGCCACAGATTTCAGCAGTTCTATCTGATAGAGAAGTTGAAACTCTCCTGTCGTCTGACAAAATGGGACTGCCATGAAAAAGCAACTGCTTCTGCCTGGTGTGTGGTGCTTTAAACCAAACTGGGTAGAGCCCTTATCCAAGGTTTTTTAGGGGAAATAAGAAACTATTAATTCTCTTCCACTCCTGTAGGGCAAAAGGCTATGAGATTGAGTACACGTATGGAGAGCTAAAGACAATGCCTTTCGTGAGAGTAGGATAGACAATTAAAGTTGGGAGAGGGCAGGTAATGGATCCTGCAAGTGCAGGAAGAGTTTGTGCTTTGTAGGCAAACCTCCATGTTCTCTACCTAGCAGTGCATCATCCTCACGGTTGTGGGTTATTTTCCTTTATCAACTGTATCTCTAGTGATTATCAAATCTTGCCTGCTAGTAATTACTGGAGAAGTTCCTCACCTAATGCCAAGTATAAAGTCTCTTACTGTGATTTGGCAGAAGGTTAGAAATGTATCTTGTTATAGAATTGGCTCTGTAGAATTGAGCTAGTACTAATTTGATCAGATGGAATAGGTTGTTTTCATTATTTCAAGGTGCTTCACTGCACCCTGGAGCAGAGTTCCCAATCTTAACTTTGCCTATGTTTTGCTGTCAGTAGTGTAGCATCAGTAGTTCTGTGCTGCACATATGCGTAGAAGAAAGCATTCAGCTTTTGGTACTGTTTGTGTTTCATAGTGTGGGAACTTCAAAGTACTTGTCTCTCTGGTACAGTACACCTTTGAAAATGCTAGGGTGAGTGGAATACCATTATTATTTAAAAGGCTTAAGACAAGAGTCATAGAGTAATTTAGCTTGGAAGGGGCGTTTAGACATCCAGTCTCCTACTAAAAAGCAAGGCTAACTATTGTAGGTCTCATTGAAAGTACAGGTTACGAAAATATGATGATTCCCCCCACTCCCTGAAGTGACAGTTGCTAAAGTAGTAATTTGAAAAGTGTTAAAAATGTATGCTATGAAAGTATTTTACCAAGCTCTTACTGAAGGAAGAGAAGTCACTGCCGCTGCACAGTTTGTTCAAATAATGACGGTGAAATCTTTCTTAATGTCTAACATTAAGATGACTTTTTAAAGTATTGCAGTTGATGCCTGCTTGAATCTCTGTGCGGCTAACACGCGGTAACTCCATGTATTCTCAAGTTTCAGATATAGTAATTCAGAATTCAGTTCCAAGTTAACTGCTGTATGTGGATTGTGTTTCTTTCCATAGTTCTTACTGATGTGTTTATTTAAAAGTTTAAAATCAAATATATTTTTTTCCCCTCAGTAACCAAAGTAAGGAGGCTTTCATTGACTGGGCAAGATACGATGATTCACAGGATCATTTTTGTGAACTTGATGGTAAAATGTTTAAGCTTTTTCAGAGTGTTTGTTTTATTTGCTGTCTCTTAAAAAACACAAAAGATTATAGTTTCTCTGCAAATAACCATTTTAAAAAAGTTTTAGTTTTGTGCTAAATGGAGATGTGACAGTTCATATCATCTTACATGCAAAGAATGCAATTTTTTACAAGGAGCATTTGGTAGTCTAAATAGTGCACATTCACTGCTACCTCCTGTTAGTATAGTGAACAGGAGACTTTTATGGAAGTAAAAAAGAAGGTAAATGGGAGGGGGGTTAGCATATATTTTTTTAAAAATCTTCTTCTCACAAAAGAGTTGCATCTAGCACAAATATAAGACAAATTACTTGCAGCTGATTCAGTTTCTTACTACTATATTATTTTTGTTGCTATTCTACTGTCTATGCTCGGACTGAGTTTGTTCCTCTTCTAGCCTTGCTATGTTTCCAGATGATCTCGGCACTAAATTCACCCTTATTTGTAAGGACTTTCTTACTGTTAAAACATTAGGATACTAGATTGTGTCTTCCCTCTGTTCCACATATATGAGTCTTTTTATTTGCTTGTAACATTCAAAGCTCAAAGGAATGTTTTTCAGATAAACACGATAATTGCCAAGTTCAGGAATGACTGCTAAAGGCCTTTTTAATAAATACCTTAGAAAGCTTTCTATGGTAGGAAGACTTAGGGCATAATGCAAGATGTTTTAATCTGCCTTTAGGTTAATGTTTGGTGTCACCTGAGAAAGCATTTCTGCTGCATCTTATCTGTGAACATTTTCTATGTAAGCTGTTTCTGTAATAAATAGTTGGTTAGCATTACTGTAGATCTGAACTGTTACATGCAATAAGCTGCTGTTGTCTCTACTGTCTTCAAGCTGCCTACTTACATTTTAAGAGGACTCAGTTGGGAAGGGTATAGTTTAGGAGCATTTCTTTTAGAAGTAATACTAACTTAAGTAGTTCCTGATTCTACGTCCATCTCTGCTTACATCATGCCCTGCTGAAGGAGGATGCACTGCTCCCAGCTGTGTTCTTCCAGTGCTTTTATTGCACTGGCTCTGGCGTGCATCCTTCTGCATGGTAAGCTGATTCAGCTTACTTGAATAGCGGGAAAGTAAGTTGACATCTCTCTCCCATCTCCCAAATTGTTCTGATGAACTGGCTTATCAGGTGAGTTTGTGAGCTGGAACAGGGAGAGGTGAGAGAGAATAACTACTGGGAGTGACTGGGAGGAGGTAGAAACTCTTGTTTTCTTCCTCTCCTCTCTTCCTGCTGGTGAGAGGGCTCTTAATTCACTCAACTGTAGCACAAAACCGTATCACCAGTTTTACTTTTTACTAGCTTTTTGTTGGGCTTAATGATAAACTAGGTAAGGGAATTGATCTAGCTGAAAAAACCGTCATAACCCAGGTCAGCTTTCCATCTTTCTGTTGCACTGCCCCACAGACTCAGTTGTATGTGGATAATGAGAAGAAAATGTGGAGACCTGAAGTGACCAGGAAGTGTAGGAACTGCTTAGATTAGCCATGCTGTCAAAAAAAGAAATAAAGCTGTAATTTTACTTTGTCACATCTGGCACTCACTGTGTTGTTGTGCATCTTGTGTCTGTCTTTTTTCTTTGTTTTTGCTACTACTGCTGAAGCGATGCTTAACTGCTCATGCAGAATCATCTCTTCTTTTTAGAGCAGTTTTCACTCTCTGTTTCTGTGGTTTTTTTCGACATCTGAGGAGATACTCAGTGGCACTGCTTGGCCTGTTCCTATGAATAAGTCTCTGGATTACTGGCTTGTATTGTATGTGGGTTTTCTTAAGCATGAGTTGCTCTTGACCTAGAATTTCAAAGAGGAGGGAATTCTTCCTGCTTTTTACTGGTGGTAGCTCGAAACTTAAGTTTCTATTCGTACAGAGTTTAAACTGTTTCACAATTTTCATTGGATATGTTGCCTGAATTTGTAGTGAACTTTAGAGATGAGGGTATAACTTGTTGAAATGCTGCTTAAATAACATGTTTCTTGCCATAACCAACAGAGTGTTCTGCAGTATGCTGAAAGTTTGTTCAATTAAGCAATATGATCCAGACTTTCTGCCAGTATACAAGGGTATCTGGGGAAAAAAGGGATTTAGCTAATACATATACAACATGTACCAACTACAAGATGCACTTCTTTGACCTTGTCTTTATTAAGAAGCCCCTGTAGCAGTATACCCATTTCAAAAAAGCAACCCCCCCAACCAAATACTGCTGGACAAATAAGCCCTGAATTTGAAGCCCATTTAAAACAAAACACTGTTTATATCTTTGCATAGGGTGAGAGAACACATTGCATGACAAGTGTTTATGGTGGAGTTGAAGAAGCCACATAGAAGGCGTTCAGACATTGTAGAAATTATGGCCACACAAGAGACTCTGGAATAACTTATATACTTTTGAGTTTTCTATTTAGTGTGTATATTGCTGTATTTTTATGTACAAGGCATTTACAATCCCAACTGGAAGACAGAATAGTATTATATGAGACGTCTTATTTATATTTAATTCTGTGTCACTTTTTTAAAATTAAATCTTTTTTAACTGATCAGTTAGAATGTGTAACAAAAGATTTCCTATTTAGATGAGAGATCTCCAGATGCACAGTATGTGGATTTGCTGCTGAATCCAGAACGTTACACTGGATACAAGGGGCCTTCTGCTTGGAGAGTGTGGAACAGCATCTACGAAGAAAACTGCTTCAAGTAATTGGGAGGGAGAGGAAGCCTATTTCTTATATTTGCGCTTCAATTTAGCTTAAACCTGATTTTTGTGTTTTCTAACTTATTTTCTAGGCCTCGATCTGTCTATCGTCCTTTAAATCCACTGGCGCCTAGTAGGGGTGGGTCTTGCCTGTTTTATTTTCCAATGCAGTTCTTCTAACGTAGTGACTATTGCAGTACAAGTGATACAAATAGTAATCTTCAGTCTGTAGGTGTGCTTTCTGCTTTTTTAATTTCCTCTCTAGAAGTAGCTGTCCATTTTCAATATTTAGACTAAGGTTTGTGATACTTGATTACATATATGCTTAATCTTATGCATATGAATAGGCTTACTAATGTCAGGGGAGCTAACGTGAAAACTAAAGTAAATCTCAAACTGTTTAGTAAATGTTACAGTAATTCTCCAATGTGGATGGGAAGGAGTTAAAGTTCAACAAAAATTTCGGCACTCTTGTATTCTTCCCTTGTTTTTTTTTTCCTAGAGCATTTAATTTAATCGCTTTAGCTCATAGTCATCCTAGTGTAATGTAGCTGTACATTTTCCATCCATAATGTTTAGTGTATTACACATGTACAAATAATTGCATTATTTGAAGAAAGAGTGGATACTTAGGAAGGCTCAGTTATCTGCAAGAATGTTTAAAAAAAAAAAAATTATGCCAATGACTTGGGTTTTAAGTTTTCAAATTTAAATTGAAAACTATAAGCTGGTATTCCAAAGGAATCGGCTTTCCCCTGTCAGTGTGTCTCATTTTCCTTAAAAACTAACTATTAGTCAATAGATTGAGTTATAAAACATCACCACACATTAGAAAATCAAGATAGCTTTTAGTAATTATAAATATTGAGATAATATATTGCTGGTATACACAAATAAAAAGAATTGTAAGAGCAGTTTCACTCAAGGATCAGAATTTCAGAAAGGAACACTGGTCAGATTGTTGAATAATGTGAACTGAAGAAGACGACTTCCTAACCATCTTTCTGAAGCTAAAACATAGCTTTCAAGAATATGTAAATCAGCTGCTACTAAGATTTCAAATTCTCAGTGACTTTCATTATTATAATGTGTTTAGTCTCAGGTGGTCTTGAGGAGGAGGAAGAAGATGGAAAGTAGCCTATTTTTTGTAGGTTAAATAAGGTTTCTTGCACTTTTTCAGTGTTTGTAGTAAAGCCTGTGTTTCATTACTGCTTTGCTGTAGAAATTATCTTTTTAATGCTTATGGATTTTTTTTGTTTGTTTTTTTTCCCCTAAGGAGGAGATGATGGTAAGTCATCTTATTTTGCTTGACTTGCAGAAATGAAGTAAGCATTAAAGAGTTTTGGACATCTGATTTATTCACTTTATTGCTATTGTATTAGAGGGCAGGAAAGTTATGTTTTTATGCAGATGATTGATCAGAAAATGTTTTTATTGGGATAATTTGGAGTAGGGGGAAGGAGTGGATAAGAGCAAAATACAGTTCAATTGTTGGTTCTTATCCTTGTAACAGAATATGAGTTGCGATAGTTATTAGCGAGATAACTGGAGATGCATAAATTAAAGCATTCTTGGGTCTCCTCCAGAGCCCCATTGATACTGGTGTCAGATCCCTTAACAGAAGAGGGACGGTTTTTTATGTACTTTCTTGAATGTCCTTGATTTTGGGAGGGTGGGGAGAGAGTGGGGAGAAAAAGCATTTGGTCTGTCTACAGTGAGACAGACTTTAAGATTTTTCAGTCAACTGAAAGCTCTCAGGCAAAAGATCTAAGCCTAGAGGAAACCTTCAGACAGTTAGCAGTCAAGGTAAAGCCTATCAGATATAATTACACTCCTCCGTCACGTCTTTCACCACTAGTGCATATAATCAGGGTTGCGCTTCCATACACTTCTGAATGCCTTGACCAGTAGCTTAGTCATGCTTGTTCTTGTATTTCTCCTATTCTGACCCCAACAGATTTAAACTAACCTCAAAGTTCAGCCACTTCAGTGCCTATTCTCACTTTAATAGCTAAATTGTTTAGATGTCCAGATGGCAGCTAATGTTAGTATGCATAGTAATATAAAGATACTATAATGTTGAAAATGAATACTCTTCATTTAACTATATACTTTGTATTTACAGGAGAATCTTTCTACACATGGCTAGAAGGTAAAAGTTCTTGGATGGGTTAATATAATGTTAAATTCACTAGAAGAAACACTGTAGTATTTTTTTCATCTCCCCAAATATTTTTCATAGTGTAGGCTTTTTAATAAATTGTGCAGAACTTCTGAGTGTAATTCAAAGAATATTTTTTTTTCTTGAGGGTCTTTGGAAATCTTCTCATTCACTTAGATGGTATATGCCTTAAACCCTTCAGTGTTTCATCTTTTATAAAGGGGGAGTTCCCTTCAATACCATTTACTTTGAATTTTCTGCTCATTCCGCTCTGTCCCTGCATTTAAGTAGGGACATTATTATTAGTAACATTGCTAAGTGTTTTTATTTGAAAACAGCTTTAAAAAACATCAAAGTTTTTGATGGTTCTGTTCCCAGTACATAAACTAACATAAGTATAATGTGTGTTCAGAAGGCAAAGCAATTTGCTTTTTATTCATATTTAAATGGAAATTATTATTACAGTGGTAGCAATCAAAATTGCGTTTTGGAGGTGTGCAGAAAAGTAAATGAGTTAAATGTACTTAATTTTAAACTTAGTTCATTCTGCCTTTCATAAGCCTTTACTTGTCTAGTTGGAAATCTCTAACTGGTGCTATTGTAGGAAAGCATACACATTTCCATGCTTTTTAAATTGTGATGTCTGTAAATGAGGCCATATCTCAGCCTCACAGATAGGCTTCACCATCAACTCTTCCTGCTTCTGTTTGTGGAGATTGGAGTGGCAGGGAAGTCAGCCAAACATATCTTTGAGAAAGGAACAAACTCCTAAGTTCCAAGTGTAGGCTCTATCTCTGGGTCTAAATGGTGTTACAAGTAATTTCTGCATTTAAATTACATTTTGGCCACCCAATGCCATTGTGTTTCTGTTTACGCTGTAGAAGTCTGTATCCATCAAAGTCATATTTTTCAAGGTTTTGCTCTGTGCATTTAAATTCAGTGGATTTACATTACAGTTGGGAAGAAATATTTTTGCTGTTTTCCAATGCCATAAGGTTTTCTGGGGTTTTTGATGTTTTTCTGTAAGGTCACTACTAATTCAGTGGTAGCTTTAATTCTAATTAGGATGGGTCACAGTATAGTTCTGGTTTCCAGACTGTCAAAATTCAAGACTATTTCAAATTTATTGCTTAAACAATGTAAGCATCTTATTTTTGTGTGGCAATTTATTTATCTGTACTAATTGACCAGATACTTATTTGACTGTATTTATCAGAACACTAAAATAGCAAGTAAGAAATGTCAAACTTCAATCTTAGTACTTCTTTATATAAAAAGTATGAAGTAAAGTTTTCCTATGATGGATATAAGGGCTTATTAACGATGTTGAAGTACTGTAATTGTAACTCTTGAAAGCTAAACGATGCAGACTTGCATCACTGAAATGTCAAGGTATATTCATTTTAATACATTATTTCCAGTATCTAGTTTGGGGTCTGTTTGTCTTTTTTCCTGGACAGGTCTTTGCCTTGAGAAAAGAGTGTTTTATAAACTCATTTCTGGACTTCATGCTAGCATCAACTTGCATCTGTGTGCAAATTATCTTCTTGAAGGTAATTTAAGTCTAGGTAAAATTGCTGAATGGAATTCTACGATATCTGTAACATGTATTTGTTTTTTTCTGAAAATTTTTGATGTATACTTAGTTGTTTTCTTTTTCTAAATATATATGTTTTACTCTCCCTGCTTTTTTTTTTTTTTCCCCCTGTGTAGAAACCTGGGGGAAGCCTCGCTGGGGACCAAATGTGAAAGAGTTCACTCACCGCTTTGACCCTATTGAAACAAAAGGAGAAGGACCAAGGAGGCTCAAAAATTTGTATTTCTTGTATTTGATAGAGCTGCGTGCTTTGTCAAAGGTTGCACCGTACTTTGAGCGTTCAGTTGTTGACCTTTACACAGGAAATGGCCGTGAGGATGCTGAATCTAAAGCTCTCTTACTAGATATCTTCAGGGATACAAAGTAAGGCATAGCATTCTTTTTTATCAATAGTTTGAAATTCTCAGTTATATTCGCAAGTGTGAATAGATGACTTCTTGATAGGATAGGACAAGAAGGAGAGAGGAATGAAGAAATAAAATTAAGTAATGGGAGAGAACAAGAGGAATTTGTACATTTGATGGGAAAAGATGAATATTTTTGAGGTTTGAATATATCAATCTTTAAAAAACAAAACCCCTACAAACAAAAAACAACAAAAAACCCCACCCCCACAACACCCTGGGCTACTCCCTATTTGTTGCTTTTTCTGATTCTTCAGTATAAGATGCACATGATTTATTTTGAAAAGGAAAATAGTACATGTAGTCTTTTAAGGATGCAGTGAGTTAATCCAGCTTTTATCGTAGACTTAACCTCTGGGTTTTAGCCAACACTTCTTCCTTCTGTTTACTCTGTAAGGTTCTTTAGGTCCTTTGCTCACCTTCTCGCTAATTTTTGTGATTGTTAATGTGCTGTGTGGCTTCATTGCTGTCCCTAATAATAATCTTGCTAGGTATTTGAGATGTGGTCAGACAATGATCAACTGAAAGGCAAACATTAAGACAATTTCAGTGTATATTAGAAAGAAATCTTGATCAGTGGAAATGGAGTGAAAAAAATTCTCAACAAAACTGTAAATAACAGATTTCAAGTTACAGTGATTGAATAGTAAAACTGATACCATTCAGTAAATTTTTAAGAGCTGTTCTGCAAAGACTAGGAACTCTGAAAAGTATTTTACGCTGATGGCAACAGCTGCTCACCAAGCTTGATTGAACACTGTAGTTTATGCCAGTGTTTGGTTTTTTTGCATTTTGTCTTTATTAGGTCCTTCCATATGCACTTTGATGAAAAGTCCATGTTTGCTGGAGATAAAAAAGGAGCCAAGTCATTAAAGGTAAAGCTAGTTTTCTGAATGGCATCCAAAATATCCATTTTGGAATTAAGTTGTGTAATTTTAGAAAACCTCTCTACCTACCAGAAGCATAATACCGAGAGTAGAAAAGACAGGGATAAAAACTTAGAGTTGTATCTGAGGCCTCTTAATCTACTTTGTAGTAAATGAATGCAAGGTCTTATCCTGAGCCAAGCAGACTGAAATCTCTGGTTTAGTGCCTTGGGTCTGCCATCAGGACTGTGGTGAGGCAGATGAGTTGAATTGGTATTAGCAGTAGATGCAATGGTGTTTTTTAAGTAGAGTATCTATTTCACATAAGCATCTGAAAAAGAAAACCTCCAGTGATGTTTGCTTAAAAAACAGATGCCTTATAGAGTATAATATAGTATAATATAATGTAATATAGTATTATACTTAACATTAGAAAAGCATAGTTCCTAGACATGGGAACCTAATGTGAGTGCTGTTACTACCTAGCAACTTCTAGTGTTAACATGCTAGTGTTCAGATTGGTATGCACTACAATTCCACAGCTGTAGTGTGGCTCAGCAATAAAGGTCTGTTTTAATACTTATTAACACTTTTAATACTTATTTCAGTAGTAGTATGGAATTTCATCAGCATTAGAAAGACTGCTATTAGAAAGGTGCCAGTAGTTTATCAGCCCAGCTAGTGTTTTTTTGACCTTGAAATTTGTGATCGTCTTAGTTCTGTGCTGTGCTGTGCTTGCTTCCACTCTGACTGAAGCTGCAAAGCAACAATCTACCCATAGCTTTGGACAGGAAATGTCTTTTGTGAATTGTAACTTGTTTGCCTGTTTGTCAAAAAGGTAGGTTGGTTCAAAAGGGAGTTGAATAATGGGAGAAAAATTGGGCAGGGGCACAGATACAGTACTTACAGCTCAGAAAATTTTGAGCAAGTTGGTAGAAACTCAGTGTACAGAATCCAAGCGTTACCCTGCATGTCCTGTATTTTGGGGTTTTTTTTTTGAGGAATTAACTATTAGCAGTGGCTTGGAAACAAGATTCTGGGTTTACGTGGACCTTTGTTATGGCCTGACCACATATGGTGGTGGTTTTGTTCAGTTTTAGTAATAGAGAATTGATATTCTGCTGGTACTAGATTAATTAACCTTCTGTTTTTGTAAAGCTAAGAGGTATTTTGAGTTAATGTTTTTTATTTTGATTTTAACTGATAGGAAGAATTCAGATTGCATTTCAAGAACATATCCCGCATAATGGATTGTGTTGGATGTGATAAATGCAGGCTGTGGGGCAAACTGCAGGTATAGTTTTTTATGTGTATGTGTGTTGGGCGGGGGGGGAAGGTCAGAAGATAAGCATCTATTTCAGTTTGGCAGGATGCCTCTTACTTTAGCATTCAGACTTTCTGCACATGGTTGGTCTTTGATATCCTTCCTATATATTAAAAATAGACATATGTTTAGTTCACTGTTAAACAATTAAAAAAAAATTTGTTTAAAAAATGTTTATTTTGTTTAGTCAACAGCTGTTTAGTTTACTAAAAGGTCTAGTTTGTATTCTCTGAAAAAAATCTATTTAAAGCAGATGCTTCACAGCAAAGTCTTACTGGCAGTCAATATCTTATCTGTATTCAGTCATCAGATGATCCTTGTAGAACCACCTATGGGAAGCCTTCCTGGAAATACAGCACTTGCTTAATTGTTAGAAAATTCAGCATGAGATTTAACTCCACAAATTGAGGCATAAGAAAAAGAAGTAATTCAGATTTTCAGTTTATGCAGAAGGCAGCAAATGAATGCAAAGGTGCACAGTAAAGCTGAAAGTTGAAAAGCAGAATTTCAGTTTCTGGACACCTTTTTTACTGAGAACAAGATTTTAAATCTCAAGACTAATGTTAAGTCCAGACTGAGAATAGTTGTTACTTTGGGGTGCCTACTGTACTATACTGCTGTATAGCATTAAGCTTATCAAAGGTCAGTTTTCAAAGAAATTTATAACATAAAAAATTTGGTGGTCTCTGCTGAATTTCTGGAGTTCTGCTACCCTGTCCTAGTTAATGCTTCTGATCTATTACTGTTTTTTCCTTCTCACACAAAATGAAATAGGGCCAGATTTCCTGACCTATAAAATTCTCTTGCAGCCAGCCTCAGCCACTTTCTGTCAAAATCCGGTGGTTGTTTCTGTAGCCCGATTAAAAGGGGAAATAAGAATAGCTGCTTCTGTTCTATTTCTGTATAGAAAATAGGGGTTGAAACTGAAACTGCAGTGTCTGCCACTGGGACTGGAGGTGGAAAAAGCAGAAGTGTTGTGATACCTCACAGTAAAACCTAGTTTGACTTGGAAGGGAGAGGAGAGAAGAAAAGGAGAGATCTGATCCAACAGCTCCTGCAGCAGTGGGGCATGTGTAAAGTAAGGGGCGGGAGGGAGCTGGAAGTATTCTAACAGGCATATTTTCATATCCATCTGCTGTGACTGAGAAGAAGAGAGATGGGAAATGAAGGAGTGATCTTATTGATGTTAAAACATTGGACTTTTCTTGTAGACTCAAGGCTTAGGAACTGCTCTGAAGATCTTGTTTTCTGAGAAAGAAATACAGAGCCTTCCTGAGAATAGCCCATCAAAAGGTTTTCAACTCACACGTCAAGAAATAGTTGCTCTTGTAAATGCCTTTGGAAGGTAAGTTTTTATCATTTGTATAGTAGAAAAACAGTAAAACTTCAGTGTCAACACTCAAGGTCTGTGGAAAGATGGTATTGTACATGTAGCTGTAGCTTTTAAAGGCTGAATTATTATCAGTGATATTGATAAACTTAATGCCATCAAACTGAGCATGGGGAGTGCTGATTATTAGCCTTGGTCATCACTGTGGGTTGGGATTCAGTTCATCTCTTTATCTCAAATCTCATAAATTCCATCTCGTGAAAGCTGGATTTAAGTCTCAGACAGTCTTAAGCATTAGACTTTGGGTATGTCTCTTCAGTTTTGGACACTGAGTAGAGCTGTTCTACATTTTTTTTTTTAAATTTCCGTTTTAACTGTGTGTACATCAAAAGTAGTGAAAGTGAAGAAAAATACTTGGAGATTTTTTAACGCTGTCATTTAGCCCTTAGGCTTTTGTATTGTTGTGTATGATGTGATTATTTTTGTTAAAACTTTTAGTTTTGTTTATTTTTTTGAAAACAGCAAAAATTTACCCCATTCGAGTGATGAAATAAATAATCTCAACAGCTTTAGAAGATGTGTAGAACTTGCTTTGTTCGTCATGCTAGTTCTTCAGATCTTGAATATAACAATCTGGCCCTGTTTAAAAGAATGTAATTAAAGATTATTACTTCTGGTTAGAGATTTTTATAGATGTTCAATGAAGTCGGGAAAATTTAAAATGTATCTAAACTTTAATCCCTGTAATATAGTATGTAAATAAAATGGAGAGTCAGATAATAGATCTTTTGAGGGAAAATAGTATCTTAGTTAATCTTTGGAACAGAACTGTGCTCAAAAAAAAACCCAAGCAAAAAACCCCCATGGAAGATGATGATTTGCACTTCTCTTTCGCAGTTGACTTACTAACACTTACGGGGTTTTTGTTTTACAGGCTTTCCACAAGTATAAGAGAGTTGCAGAATTTTAAAGTTTTATTACAACAAACTAGGTAATGAAGGCCTTTGCACAACTCATTAGTGAAGACTATTTACATGAATGCATTGAGCAGAAGGAACTGATCCTTACAGGACTCACATGAACTGATAAAATGTAAAATCAAATCCCAACTTGAATATTTATGTTTAAACTAGGAATGGTTATTAATTAGAAAAGATATTTATGAATGAAATCTATAGTTTTTAAATGTGTAAATTATGCTGATCTGTTTATATTTTAAGTTCTCTGCTCACAGTTCTATTGTATTGAAACTTCATAAATTTTCTTTATTTCCTTGTCTTTTTGAGACAGTTGTTTTATATGGAAACTATGTACCTCCACCCTGACGTAGCCTGTCCTGAGGGAGGTGGTTCACCTCTCGCCTCTCCCCAGTACTGAGCTTCAGTATATTCTGAGGATTGGGTATGCTGATTCTGGCTGTCTAACAGGGAAAAAGAAAAAAAAAAGAAAAAACCACCCCAGAAAAGGAAATAAGGCTCTTGTTGAGCTCTGACTTCTCACTGTAATAATGAAACTTACTTAAAAATAGGAAATTTACTGAGCAGAAAATTTTATTTCATACTGAGCTCCTTTGCAGCACATGGATATCAACATTTTTTTCCTTATGTGCTGCTTTTCAGGATTCCTTTTTTCTTTAAAATAACTACCTTGTCTCTGGTGCAGCACAGTTGAAAGTGACTTTTCTGGAGCCCCCTGGCTACCTGCATTTGCTTGGGGGTGGGGGTAAGGGCAGGGGGAGACAATTAGTGGAGTGCTGCTAGCTGAAAAGCCTCTGTCAATCAAATTCACATCTAGCCCATTTTATTTTCTAGATTGTAATCACAAGTTCAGTTTCCAGAAATTGTCTTTTTAATGTCTAAAATGTTAAAATAGCACACTTGAATCTTTGAGCCGTGGAAATGGATTTGCTTTTTTTGGGTTATGTTTTAGTGCTACGTTAAAAGGTCAGTGCAAAAAGTAAGAACCTGTTTTTGTAGTCACTTTTAAGAAAAGATGCTTTTTAAAAATCATAATCACACTGACATTTAATACCACATACTCTATCTATGCAATCCCGAACTGTATCTTCTTTAAAAGGATATTCAGCATAATAAAACGGGTATGTTAATAACATAACTTTCATAAAATAAGAAATTACTCGTGTATCGTTATCCACAAATGTCAATGATAACTTACCATTGTCCAAAACAGAATTCAGAAACAGCATTACTGATTCGTAGCAATCAAATATTGGTTTAAATTTAAAATGAAGTAATAATTTTTTTTAAACCAGCATGTTTCAAAGTGAAGTTAGGAGTTATGAATGTAGGAAGTGCTGGTACAGTGTAGATACATCTCTTGTTTTTAAAAATAAGTCTTCACAAAATAAAGTGCTCTTAAACATTTTTTCACCCTACCAGATATTTAGCAACCTGTTTATATAATTGATTGTAACTGTATTGGCTTCCATAATGTGGTCCTTTACAGCTGAGATTTTCTGAAAGCTGGAATACATTCTGTCCTTTGTTTCCAGACTAGCCTCAAATTTCTACATGACTGGAAATGAGAGACTATCCCGCTCACACTTGCTATTATAAAAAATACTGTTTCTCAAGAAAGTAAACCTTCTTGAGTCAAAATGGGATAAGCTAAATGAAAGGAAAAAAAAAAAAAAAAGAAGGGGGGAAAAAAACGAACCACAAACCACCCGCACAAAGTTTTGGTGATATTGCACAAATTGGCAATAAACTGGTATCCAGTTGTAAGTTCCTGTTTAAGCCAGTAGATAATTTAACATGGTATTAGAGAAAGCTGATGCCAGTCTGGGGATGTTACGTTCTTACCCAGCAGCTTCTCTTGCCTGTGGGCACCCATGTCTGAGCAAGTCACCACAGGCTTCTTTTTTTTAGTTAATGGAGAAGGGCAGGTGATTTCTAGGTGGATTCATCTGGCCTATTCCGAGCTCTGTGTGATAATGCTCTAGGATGCAGTGATTTGCACCCTAGAGTTTACTTTTCTCCATTAAACTGAAGTGGGAATCTAGGTAATGTAGCTGAGATGTGAACAGCTGTGTTTGGTAAATGAGTTACACCCTGAATATCTAACTCTTCTGAGTAATTGTATATGTTGAAAGTGTGTGTTTTTCAGTTGGCCATTAATTCCTTGCCTTTTGAATTGACCTGCAAGGGCTAGAAACTGTAGGCTCACTTGTGTGAAGAATGCTGTGTAGCTGGGATTTATCTGTATTATTATATATTATAGTGCCTAAAGCTTTAGGCAGGATTTCCTAGTTGAAAATAAATTGTGTTGTCTGTGCTGCCCCAGGAAGGACCTGAGTCTCAGAATTGTTTCTTCCCTTTTTCCCCTTGCATTATGGGGAAAGTGAATTGCTTCCAACCTTCTTCTGGGGATGCAACTTGCTATTTTTCTATTTTTCCACTGTGCCTGGCTAAAATCTACGGACACTGAAGCGGTATCACATACTAGCGTCATGCACTTGCTCGTGGCAGCAGGTGAGAGATTCAGGCACGCAGATCCTGGACACCTGCTCCTTGCAACCCTCCTTGGCCCAATGCAGGCAAGGTTAGTACTGTTGGGTAAGGACATAAAGAGATGGGAAGTTTTTCTTCTTTTCCTCTGTGTCATGAAAACGCAGGAATGAAAACGCAGTAATGCAACCAAACAGCAAATTCTGTGTACAGGGAAGTTCTGTTGCATTTGAAGGTACATCTCGCTTGGTGATCAAATATGGAAGGCATTTCACTTCACTGTCTTAGTAGAAATAGGACATAAGATTTTTCCTGTTACAAATCTAGTTGAAATAATTTTCCTGTCACCATCTTTTTTACTGTATTTGATGTACATTCTGTGACTATGCTGCCTATGAAGTTTTGCCATGTGAGTCAGGTGACTTAGTTCTTTATATGTTAAATTAAATTTTAGAAATTTACAGATCTGTTTTTATACTAAAGAATAAGGTTAGAGACACTGTACATGACCGGTAAACTATTTTAAATTCCAGCTCCCTGGAGATCAGCTTGTCAACATTGTCTGCCATTCATTTCAGCGTAAAAATACATTTTCTTGTACAAATGACACAATGATTGTAATCCCAGAGGTAGTGATAAGACAAAGACAAAAATGTTTCATTTTTCCCAAGTCATGAAGACTTAAGTGAAATGGTGAAAAAGACTTGGTGCAAACTGCATAGGTAAAATGCAGGCGCTGTTGCTGAACAACTTGCTCTTCAGTGCCTGAGGAGGAAGGTGAAAATATAGATTTAAAACAGTAAAACAGACACTTGCGTAAGCTGGAATAACAAAAGTGTTTTCCTACTTCAGCTGATGATTTGTGCTGTATGTCATTGTATGTGCATGAAATACACTGTGCCACACTTTCCTGAGTTGTGTTTTGACGGTTGGGTTGCCTTTATCTGACCTTGCTTTGTGCTTTTCTGGGAAATGACCTGTAATTTGTTGTAAATAATCTAGATGCTTATGTTTATAAAGTAGCAATCAGCAATTCATCACTTTACAATTCCTCCATATAGCTAGCCTATTAAAATGTAATATTTATTAAAATCAAAATCAATGTTGGAACTGCTTACTGAAATCTAAACACTTCTGAATCTTTGCTATGTTTGAATCTATGAAATGCAAATTAAAGTATTTTCTGCTACAACTTATTTTTGTGAATGTAATTTTTGGGTTTTCATTTGAAAATTTTTTCACTTTTCATTTCATTTACCTTTCAGCTACACTTGGTAGAAATTATATAACTTAAATTATTTACATGTCATTTACAGTCATTTAAGCTTAAGATGATGAGCAGGCTTTCATTCTCACTTTAATTCTGTTCAAAAGACGAATGTAACCCGCTTACCTGTTGCTGTTTACAGTGCATTGTAGCATATCATCAGAAATTCATGTGGCAGAATTCAAATATGTTTCTGTTTGAACATGGCCAAATTTAGCCACTGTTTAAGTCCAATTGTTTTAAGAGGCAAAAAGGCTTCTTTTGAAATGAACTTCAGTCCATTCTGTCCCTTTTTCAGAATAGCTTATAAAATCAATTTTGTAAATATTTTTTCTGGTTGGTTTACCCAGTGGGGCTCTTCATGTGAAATTATTTCCCCTAAAGGGTTTCTGCCATTTTCTGTTTCATTCCACGGATGCATTTTTAAGAAATCATCTTACTAAAAAATTGGTACACATATTTCATCCTCAGTTTAGATGGGTAAGTGCCTGTTACACAGGTGATGATAGTTACAGTGATTTAAATTTAAGATCTTGCCTTTCACATTGTTGTTTACATCTCCTGTGTTTGAGAGTATTTAATTAATTGCTATGATTCATTATAGTCACTTGTAATTCCACTTTTTTGCATGCATACTGTGGCATAGGGAGTAAGCTTGTTTTAAGTGCAGAATTCTCATAATTAAATTTTTGCTGTGCAGCTATATCTACTGTGAAGAAAATGTAATTCCTGCAACTTTTCTTGCACTAGGTCTTCAGGCAGTTTTGTACAAACATGACTGTAGAACTCCAAAGGGTTTAATAAAATTTATCCTCTTCTCTGAACCCTGTGGCACCTTTTTTAATCTCTGGCTGATAGTTTAATTGCCTTTTTTTCTTCAACGAACATTCGGGAAGAAGTGAAGAAACTGAGGGAAGCTCTGGAGGGCAAACAATTGGCAGGGTGCTTCTGCCAGAGGCAAGGCTCGTGCTTTGATTTTACCACATAGGCCCCAAAAATCAAAGACCCTGTGGAAGACGTGGCATATGAGTGTGGCACTACTATGCTTTTGGCTTCCAAGCAGACCTGATCAGATCTACTCCCCATCCCTTCTTTTTTTCCTTTATATTCTCTGTGAAATGTATACGAGAATTCTCTACTTGTACTTCCTGAAGTTGAATATGAGGAAAACATCAAGCCTGTCCACTGTTTGGGGATGCTGTAGTACACCTCAAAATGAACTACTTTTATAGAAGTAAAGATTACAATAAGAAATATGTTTTTCTCCTAGGGAAATGTGGATTGAATTGCAGTATTTGTTTCATGGGGGGAAGGAGAAAGAGACCGCTGGGGGTGCAGAGTTCTTCACGGTAGAGCATACCAGTCAGTATTGGGTACAATAAAAAGACCTGAAATAGAGTTAGGGCTTCTGCTCACTGTAGATTAGTATTAATTATTTTTAGGCTTACTATGTGCAAATGTCACATATTAGAATGGCATTTATCTACCATTTCCACTGCAAACCACCAAATTTATTCCTGAACATACAAGGGTGAAGCACGGCTTTGCTGACCTTCTGCTAGTTATGCAGAATTTATCCTCTAGGTCCACTTAAGGTTTTTCTGCTTTATGTATTCCTGGTTCTTGTTCTATTCCCAGACTGCACTTCCTAGGTTTTTATTAAATAAAGAAAGAAGTACTGTTATATGTATGC